TGGAGAATCTCCAAGGCTGGAGCTACTGGGGACAGTCTTCCCCCCAGAACCAGAACCTGAGTATCAGAAAGTCTTGTCATGGTGTGATGAAGGCGTCCATCCCACTGGGCTTCAGACCCCCAACTGCATATTTGTTTGCCTTTCCATTCAAAGTCACAGTAGCTTAAGAGCAAGTGAAACTTGCTCATTCGGCAATGCCGCCCCTCCTGCTCTCCAAATCCACCTGCACTGAAAATAATGCCTGGACTCAAAAGGACAGAGGCATGGCCATATCTCTTAAAGTTTGGGCCTTGACTGTCACTAGAGACCACACTGGCAGGTAGGATCCCTGAAGGGTAAGTAGGATCTACCCGAGTAAACACCTCCGAGGATGGAAGCAACAAAGTCTGGCAGAGCGGGTCTCCCCTAGAAGCGGCCAGAATGAAATAGTGGGCGCACTTCAGATGCCACTCCTCAAACTCGTCAAAGGGTTCAAGATTTTCCACGCGCCGGCGTTCTTCCGCAGGCAGAAAGCAGCGATAGAATTCATTCATGTCCACCGCACAGCAGGCAGTCCAGCCAGCCTGAAGGAAACGGTGCCGCTGGGACTCCACATCGGGAAAGCGGTCTAGGCCATGCAAAGGAGAATTTAGCTGCCGAAAATGTTGCTGCATGAACTGGCCAAAGGCATCATGCGGCCTCATCTGCTCGTAGATCACGAAAAGAGCATTAGGAAAACGCTGGGCTGCCCAGGCGATGAGGGCCGCGGCATTATCTGGCTCCAGGTAGGTCAGCACGGCCTCAGCCAGGAGCAAAGTGGGTGCGGCCTCGTCAAGGCCGGAGGCAGCCAGGGCCCGGTCTAGTTGCTCTAGCTGTCTCAGGTCCAAGCCCAGGATGCGGTAGTCCAAGCTCTCAAAGCACAGCGCTGACGCTGAATCCCCACTCTGGAAAGGCCCTGTTAACGCGCACAGTTCCGGCGTATCTCGAATCCTCTCCGCTTTGCGTCGCGCCACGTCTGGAAAATCTACCTCCCAGACAGCAGCCCAGGACAGGCGGCCTGAAGCTTTGAGACGAAAATACAGCGAGTCCGAGCCGGCGCCCAGCGATAGGATCTGGGCGCGAGGTGCACCAGGGGCCGCGCACGTCCGCTCCAGGAAGGCGCGTACGCAGTGCCGTACAGCGCGTGCACGGACGTAGTAGCCGCGGTGGATGAGCGGCGCGCGGCGCGCGGTCCCCGGAACTAGCAATGCGGCAAAGCTGTCGTGCACGTACCCGCGAGCGGCCAGGGAACTCTTGCTGAGGGCGCTGCTGTCGTTGGTACTCTGTACCGCTCCCGCCCGACGCTCGCGGCTTCGCGGGCCCATGGCCAGAAGATACTCAAGGGCCCCGTTCCTTCACGGTGGTGAGCGGCTCTTTAGTCCTGGCGACCCACTTTGCGGACTTCCGTACGGAAATATCACCCCTCTCCCGTGACTCCTCTTCCGGGGACAAGTGTGCGTCACTTCCGGGGAGAGCGCGCCTGGTGATTAGATCCATGGAGAGTGTAGCTTGTGCTATGATTCGACTGGTTGACTACTTTGAGTCTCTGGGACTGCATTTTCAGGGAAGATTGCCCGCTACGGCCTATTGTAGACACGTAAACTGTCAGGGAAGTACAGGTCGTCACTTTTCTACAAGCTTTTCTGTATGAAGGGAAATCTTATCTAAGTTCTCATAGTTGACTCAACTGTTACACAAAAATCTTTCAGAGGTGAGTCAGTGGGGACTGACAGCCAGAACTTGGACGGAAAGATCCGTACCCCTGATGTTAGTGGGCAAGTCGAAGAGGTCGTTCCTCAGATACTAACTACTAGTGTTAATTTATTTAATGCTTTAATTGTTACAAAAGAGACCCCATTTAAGTCTGAAGAGAAGTCAGTGAGGTCAGGTGCAAAATGAACAAACCTTTACGGAGGTTGTGTTTGACCCAATAAGTTTTTCCCCGCTGATATATACTATTGATTGCCTTGTATTTCCGGCTCTGTGCTAAGATGATGGTAAGTAAATTACTGAGCCCCAATTTCTCAGCTATAAAATGCCATTCCCCTCTGCTTTCAAAGTTCTGTGAGTCAAGCGCGGTGAGGGAATCACGGAAGAGAGGTGATTATTCCCTCATGATATGATCTGAGTCTTGTTGGGAGTTTAAAATAACCAAGTTTCTGAATTGGGTGTTTGGGTGTCACTACCAGTAGAAAACTGCCTCCAGAGATAGATAAGGAGATTTATAATTTGTTAATTGGGATTTGGTGACTGACTTGGGGCTGGGATGGAGAAGGAAATCAGGATCACTAAAGGTGTAGTTACCTTGAAGCAATATAGCATTATGGTTAAAAGTATGAGTTTTGAAGCCCTACCAATTTGAATTTGAATACTGGAACTCAAAAAGTTTGAGTCAGGATAAAGCTTTGTTAATTGAGAGGATTCATTTAGCTTTAGAGTTTAAGAGCTATTAATAACCTTAGGGAGAACAATTTCTGTGGGCAGTAAGGGCAGAATCCATGTTATAGCGAATGGGAGAGAAGTAAATGGAGGCAGCCAGTCTAAATTACACTTTCTTAGTTCAGAAGGAAGGGGAGACAGGGCAGTAGTTAAAGAGGAATGTGGAATAAAAGAAAATTTGGATAATTTTTTTTTTAGGTGGAAGCAAATACTATATTTATATTTGCATGTTGGTTCCTTAAGTGAAATTGGCCAGTGGGGGGAGAGGTTGGAGGAACAGAAAAGTGAGATTAACTAATGGAGTAATGAATTAGAGTAGGTGGGAAGAAATGGGATTCTGGGCACAAATTAGTCTCGGAGACAAGAGAGTGAATCCTTTTTCTCTGACTCAGAAGGGAAAAAAGGCTGTAGATAAAGATAAGCTTAAGTGTCGGAGTGTGGAAAGAGAAATAGAGGAAATTCATGCCAGATGGCTTCTATTGCCTCTGCAAAAGCTGGTCTCTGGGTTGTCACTTCAGTGTGAGGCTGTTGGGTCTAGGGGAACACTTGAGGAGTTTGGAATTGCCTTTGAAGGGAATGGGAGAAAGACCCCCCCTAAATTTCCTGTACCTTGGGATCCTCATCTCTAAAATGAGGGGACTAAGTCTGCGTTGTGAGTTGTTTCAAGGTTGATTGAGGACCAGACGGGGGAAAAAAGAGTTGTATGACTTTGAAAATAAATATAGCACTATAGAAATGACATTTTAATGACAAGTTAGGAAAATGTACATGATATGTTGGAAATATTCTGGTAGAGAGCAGAAATCAAGAAAAGTGATTCAAGAAGAAAGAGAATAGGGCAAAATTTGTGATTTGGGTATCTTATGATTGTTTTCTGGTTATTATTTTTTAATCTGTTTATTCTTATGTAAAATGGAGGTAATAATACGTCATGGGTTGTTGTGAAGATTAAGTAAAATAACCATCTAAGACACTTAGCACAATGCCTGGCTCATGAGTACTTAATAAATAGTAACAAATATTTTTATTTTTCTGAAACAGGCACCTTTCCCCCCTTCACGTTTTTGTCATGAAAAAAGTTCTCTGGGAAGCAGGAGACTTGGTTCTGGTCCTTCTCTAACTTGATAAACTATTAGTACAAATGTAGAAAGATCAATGTGTTGTCTTTCAGCTCCTCACTCTCACCCCAGCTTCTTCTGGACTTTGCAAAATCCAGCCCAGGAAAGTTAAATTTGTCAGGGAATGGTATCGTTGATAGCAGCAACTTAAAACAGTTTTTTTCAAATATGCGAAGATTGTGCTTGTTTTGGTGGCATTCAAATTTCCATAGGTTAACATTGTAGTCAGTGGGTCAGTAAATTTACTCACAACTCATTTAAAATTAATCTGGAGGGTGGCTTGAATGTGGCACAAAATGAGGTCAGGATCCTAGAGTAGGATGTTACCAGCCCACTGTATAAAATGTCTTAAGTGCTTTTTTTTAAGGCTGTCATTCTGTTGTCTAACCATAAATGTTCTTTTTTCTCACAATATTAAAAAATGTATTTATTTTATAAACAGTTATTTTAAATAATTAATATTTTAAATTTTAATTTATTAAAATTACTAAGTAAATTATCAAAATCTAATTATTGAAAATTTTAATTTATTAAAATTATTTCAAAAAGTAATCAAGTATTACATGCTTGTAAAACCTTAAAATTGCACAAAACTATATAAGGTAAATAAAGTAAAATTCTCTCAAGGGAGAGAATTTTGCCACTTCCAACCCACATTCTAGTGGTAACAGTTTTCTGTGTGCCCTTTTATATGTGTTTTAGGAATACAGATATAAATAATTAAGAGAGAGAGTGAGTACGTGTGTGTACATACAGGAATGCTTTATTCATAAATGGCATCTTTCTAAATCATGTATTTTGCAACTTACTCTTTGGAAGTAACACTATTATCATAGAAGTCTTTCCATATAGTCATAGCTATTCAGTTGAGCAGATATATAAAATTAATTTAGCCAGTACCCTACTGATGGACATTTAGGATGTTTCCATTTTTATGCTATTATAAATAATACTACAAGAAATGTATTTGTACAAGATATAAGATAAATTCGTGGATCTAAATGTGTGTTTTTGTGTGTGCATATTGATAAATATAGCCAAGTTGCTTTCCAAAAAGACCATACCAAGTTCTGCTCATACCAGAACTGTTACTCAGACTTTCACCAGTATTAGGTATTATTCTTCTGAGATTCAGAAATTTTTCTGGATAATTTTACAAGTTAAGTGTTTCATGAGCTTTAAAAATCAATTTCTGAGGAATAATTTTGAGAATATTTTAATGAACATTTTCTTTATAAGTCAATTTCTTATTATTTTTTAAATATTTTTATTGATTTCAGAGAGAGGAAGGGAGAGGGAGAGATAGAAACATCAAGTGATGAGAGAGTCCTTGATCGGCTGCTTCCTGCATGCCCCCTGCTGAGGATTAAGCCCGAAACCTGGACATGTGCCCGGACTGGAAATCGAACCTCCATCTCCTGGATCATAGGTTGATGCTCAACTACTGAGCCACGCCAGTCAGACTGTAAGTCAGTTTATGGCAAATTGACTTTACCTATGTAAGATAAAGTATGTTTTTCCATTTTAATGACATCTTTTACATACTTCAGTAGAGATACTAAACATATTGATTAAATAGTCCATCTTTTTCCTTTGTTACTATTCATTAAGCATCTACTAAATGGTATTCCATTGAAATACCACTTTTAACTCATACTTAGTTGGCTTTTCTGTGGGTTTCTATGGCTCTGCCTAGTCCTGTACAAACTATTTTCATTATTGCCCATTTTAATATCTCAGTAACTTATTTAACCCCTCTCAGTATCAATTTATTGATTTGTAATGTAAAAATATTTATTTTGCAAGCTATTGGTAAGATTAAATATTATATTATTAAATGTGCTTGTCACATATCTGGTAGGCTCTGAATGGCAACTGCTGTTGTTATCAACATCATCATCATTAATATGTGAGAACACAGAGAGTCAAGGTGGCTACTTTGAAAATCACTAAATTTCATTTGGAATTTTAATGTATAAGCCACCTCAGCAGTGAAGGAAAAATGATTTATCTATCACCTGTAATGTGCTAGGCACCGTTCTAGGTATTAGCCATTGGAAGCTGTTAGTCTAGTGAGGGAGAAAGACAGTAAATCAGTGATTGAGATACAATGTGATAAAGACCTGAGTGAAAGGTAGTCACATATAAGAGGGGAATTTAAAGTATTGTTTCAGTCCTCACAGCTACTCTGCATTTTTATCCCTTTTTTACAAGTTAGGAAACTGAAGTAGTGAGGTTAATTAACTAAGACCACATGGCTGCAAAACTGGTAAGAGGACTAACCTGGGTCCAGTGAAGCCACGCCTCTGTGCTTCCTTTATATATTTTAAACAATTTAAAAATGTAAACTTTTTTTAAACCAAAATAGGCCTTATAAATTTCTAGTTTTAGAAGTAGTTTTATAGAAAATGCTAATAGGTAAGGAATAGACCCAACTAAATTTCAGATTATAATCCACCTCTTACCTTTTCTTATTTCTAGTTCAGATTGTTAGCTTATTTAAATTAGCTTTGGAGGGACTTTTTGTCTTCTGAGGAATAAATTAGCGAAATCGTGTTTCTTTGCTTTTATGTCAACATCTGAAAATGTTCACATTTTTTTTAATAGGTGAAGCTGAGCCCAGAGCGACATTTACAACTAATCTTATAAAAATGTGTGGAAATAAAACAACCTAAAGGAAATTCAAGACCACAAAATTTACTGACTGAACTACATTGTATTGTTCATACCATAGTAAGAGTGCTTGGAGAAGGACCTTTGTATTCTGCTAAATCATGATGGAGACAGAAGACCAGCAACAATGGAAGAGAACATTTTACTCAGAACTACCTAAAGTGGTGAGAATTCAACCAGAATCCTAGAGTGGTTGCTAATTATAATGACTTCTGTGTTGTTTCTTTTCACAAAAGAAAAGTGAATTTCACAGGTATAATTTGTAAACTTTAAAAGTTATATAGCTAAACCTAGTAGGCAATTTGCCTAGTATAGACTGCAAACATCAAGTACCTGGAATGATGTTTTGAATCTAGTGGATACTTGATATGTTCTTACTGATTGTATTCTTTTGTTTTAGGAACTTCATGCTCACTTGAATGGATCCATTAGTTGTAATACCATGAAGAAATTAATAGCTAAGAAACCAGATCTTAAAATTCATGATCAAATGACTATGATTGATAAGGGAAAGAAAAGAACTTTAGAAGAGTGAGTTTGGGGAGATGGACACACTTCTTTTTTTTTCTGTATCACTATTTTGAGATTGTAAGTTGTATGTAAGAATTCACATTTTAGTAGTTAAAGGAATAGGTAGCCATCTGGTATGGAAAGTATAACTTGATATATAACATTTTTCCAGATGTCAGACTGTTGACAATATTTTTAGTGATTTATGTTGGTGAAGTTATACTGTATTGGAATATTCTTTAGATTTGAAAGTATAGGCCTATTGACTTTTCCCCTGTTTGCTCCTACCAGTGAGGGGGTTAAGTAGGGAAGTGGAGTAGAGAAGGGAAACTGGTATTTCCCACTTAAAAATACCAGTAATGTTTTATTTTCAGTCATTGTTATTTTCAGATCAATGTAATTTTCAAAAAACCTATTCAGTAGTTCTTTATAAATATATAATTACTGTTAACCTAAAATCTATTAATTTAATTGCTACTGAGTTCAACTTGAGCTTTTGATAACTAGAGTATCTTAAAACTTTTTATTCATGTTATAGATGTTTCCAGATGTTTCAGATTATTCATCAGCTTACTACTAGCCCTGAAGATATTTTAATGGTAAGAAATGAAACAATTTTTAGGCAGATTTAAAAATTATTAAGTAATTTATGCCCTCTTGTGGCATCGAGTCTGATGAAAAATGTTTTATGCTTTTCTGTGGCAACTATTTTCAAAACCAATGTAAGACATTTGCGTAAGAGCTAATATCAGAAGACTATGTTTATTGTAAAAGATATGAGGAAAGAACTAGATGAATATATTCTGTTAGATGGAGGACAATGTGGAGGAGAAAATCTGGCCCTGTTTTCTATAATATTTGACCACAAATAGAAATGTCTTTGATAAAGTTTTATCCCTATTGCTTGGAAGAGTTGTCATTGACTGGATAGACATTAGAGAGTGAAGAAATTCCAGAAGTGCTTAGAAATTGAATTATTAATCCCTAGGGAAATCGTGCCTTTCCTCTGGGAATGAAGGACTAAAGGATACCACTGTGTTCTCTTACCTAAAGCTCCATGATACTAGAGTCTCCATGATATGCAAGAGTGGCTTCTCTATCATTGATCTGACTAGGATGGAATTTAAAAATGCCCTTTTTGTAAACGAAGAGAAGCAAAATCCTATCAGCGTTCCTAATCATTAGAAAAAATGCAAAGTAAGAAGTATAACCTGTGTTTCTGGAGAACTAACTTTTGACTGGTCAAGAAAGAATTTTCCTCCTTGGCTGAGATTGATCCTCGTGATAAACAGTAAATTAATCACCTTTGGGAAGAGAGTTGAGTCTAAAAGTCTAGTTCAACAAAAATTAACTGAGGCCCATAATGTTCCAGTACTAGAAACTGGGAGATGTAAAGACAGATTGACATGGTCCCTGCCCCTGAGGAATTTATAGTCAGGGCTGAATCTGACAAACACAGACGTGAACCCCAAGGAAGTATTCTTGGGTGTGGGGTAGGGATAACTCCACAGGCCTCACCGTGGCCTAGATAAACCTTCCATTCCTCTCTCTCTCCCTTCCTCTCTTTCTAAAATCAACAAACATATCCTTGGCTGAGGATTAAAAAAAAAAAGATTAGGATACCAACTGTAAGTACTAACTAGGGCATGTTGTCACAGTATCCCCAACCTGGTCCTTTTTTTATTAGATCTGGTATTTTTTAGGATTGGTAGCAGAGAAGGAAAACATACCTTCAGCCTTTAGATATCATTTAGTAATTTTTGGATTGTTGAGATTTGTGCTAAATTGGATACATATTTATCACCCATTTTCTTTGCCTAAGATGATTTTTTCTAAGTATTCTGGGGAAAATTTAACCCTGCCAAAAGAATTTCATGAAAAATATAACGTATTCCTACATAACTTGAATAAGAACCTTAAGCCATGACTTTAAATGGTACATCAGTAATGTCTAATCATATTAGCTGTTCATTTCCATATGTTCTGTTTCAGTACTACACACTTGTAGATGATTTTAACTGGTTTTAGTTTTGCCTTATTTCTTTGTTTTATCAAATGGCTGTTAAGAACACTAGGGAACAGAAAAAGGGTTAAAAGGAGAGAAAGGAAACAAAAAGTGTGAATGATACACAGATTTGGATTTAATGTGTAAATGAGGGGGGTAGTAGAAGATATTGGAAGTTTTGCAGTTCTGTCATGGTCTCTACCAGGGTTGTGACAAAGCGGGTAATCTTAACCACATGGAAGATTTCCAACATACTTTGCAAATCAAATATAATGAGTAAAATAAAGCTGTAGCATTTAGCACTTTCATTGGGATCCTTACACCAACATTATCAATATTATGTACACTGCTTTTATTATCAGGTCACAAAAGATGTCATTAAAGAATTTGCAGATGATGGTGTCAAGTACCTGGAACTGAGGAGCACACCCAGAAGAGACAATGCTTCAGGTAGAATTTAATTACTTCTCAGCCAATGTACTCTTTTCTGTGTGCTTTTTTCACTCATGTGTGTACAGGTTGAGAATATGAAGCACTTACTTTTACTTAAAAGTGGCATCAACATTCCAAATCTTATGATGTACATTATTAATGAGTGAGTTATTCTTTAAAAAATTAACTCAGGTTATATCTGTTTAAGGGAAATAAAAAGGCCTCCAAAACTTTTGTTTTTCTTGTTTGTTTTTCTCACTCTGAGGAAGGGGCATTTACTCCTTATAGTTGCATTGTCTTAAACATAGGCTAATTCTTGCTCCCTGCATCAAGAGCACTTGTGAGACAATGCCACTGACTAGATTCAGAATCATGTTTTATGATAATCACAGAAATGAGGTTATGCAATCACTTCTCAGAGACTAATAGTGTGTTAGGCCAGGAGCAACCTGTAATGTGGTAAAATCTCTCTGGATAGAGATGAGCAGATCTGGATGTGGTCTGGAGAAATTTCCTGGGACCCTCTTTCTATAAGAGTAGCATCAGGAAATATTATGTGGTTAGTATCTTTGGGTCCTTTTTAGCACTTTGTTACCTAAAGAGACCCTACCAGGTCATCTTGCACTCTGACGTGTGTAGCTCCGTCACCATTCGGGGGGTAACATTTTTGCAGCTACATATAGTAAAGTAAGTGTTGACAACTGGGACAAGCAACAGAGTCTTATTTTGCATTTTTAAACTGCAGAATCAGTTCCAAGTTAACGCTGGTGAGGATGGTGAAATGGTGGAGGATAGAAGAAACCTGCCATTTATTAAAGCTAGTTTGCTCTTTGAATGGAGATTCAAAAGGGAGGTGTTAACCTAAGTGTGTAACAATAGAGGAATTGTTAAATAAAGGTCAATGGAACCTAGCCAGTGTGACTCAGTGGTTGAGCATCCAGGTGATCGAGGTTCCATTCCCAGTCAGGGCACATGCCCAGGTTGCAGGCTCCATCCCCAGAAGGGGGCATACAGGAGGCAGCCGGTCAATGACTCTCATTATTCATGTTTCTCTCTCTCTCTCTCCCTCTCCCTTCCTCTCTCTGAAATCAATAAAGACATATTTAAAATAAAATAGAATAAAATAAAGGCCAGTGGAATATCAGGTAACAATTAAAAATAGTTGCAAAGATACTTTAATGACATGGAGATATGCTTACAGATAATGTTAAATGACTGAACAGACTACATATATACCTAGTGGCATCACATCTATTCAAAATACACACACACACACACACACATATATATATATATATATATATATATATATGCTTAGAAAAACAAAGACTGGTTATCTTTGAGTAGTGGGATTTATATATTAGTTTTATTTTTCTTCTTTATAATTTCCTGTGCTTTACTAGAGATTTCCCACAAAAGGTAAGCATTTTAAAATTGGAGTACAAGAGTATTTTAGAGGAGGTTGTTCTGGAGCCCTCCAGAAGAGGAGAACTTAAACAACCAAACTTTAAGAACATCTCTAATGCCCTGGGTAAGAAACAATGAGCCTGATCAGAATTGAGGAGAAAGGAACTCAAGAGAGGATTTTTTTCTGACCCAGCAGGAAAACATTCTACTAACAGAGAAAAACAGTTTTTGGTGTGTTTTTTGAAAGACAGCCTTTAGAAAAGGGATTGTTGTTTTTGTTTTATTAGAACATTAAAAAGTTTTCATAGCAGTTTGTGAGAGTAATTTTATGTGTGTTGAATCTAAGAATAATTTTTAAATGGGTTTGTAGTTTGTATGTCTTTTTTTCATTTTATTTTTGTAGTACTTAATTATTTTTCCAAATTTGTTGAAGTTCAATTAGTATTTACTAAAATATATCCATAGGGCCATGTTTTAATTCATCTTTAACCATGCTTTTGTCACAACATGAAGTGAAAATGTAATTGTTCATATAGGGATGCTAAAGTTGAAGGATGAAATAATTGATCTCTTTACATGTTTTCTTTGTGTCCTTTCTAGGAATGACTAAAAAAACTTATGTGGAATCTGTACTTGAGGGTATAAAACAGTCTAAACAAGAAAACTTAGACATTGATGTTAGGTAAGAAGCATTGTACCTTAGTGGTTACCATTTAAAAATGTGTGAAAATTTTACTGCTTTGACCATAGGTGCAATGGATTTTTATAAATCAACCAATAACTGATTTTTATCTTAAAATAGAAAAAACAATCAAGAACCGTATTCTTTAGTATTGAGAATGCAATTCTGAATTTATTCCTGTGGCAGTAAACTTCTGAGTACTGTTGCTGTAGTGAAGAATGGCTTCCCATTGTACTTCAGCTAAAATCTAGATTTCTTACTGTAGCCTCCAAGGTCCCACATGATCTGGCTGAGTCTCTTACTTTAACAGCCTCATCTGGACCACTTGTTACTATGCACTGGCATCTGTGTTCCCCAAATAGTCCAAGACTATCCCACCTCAGCATCTTTGTACTCCCTGTAACTTTTGCCTAGAACACACTTTCACCATATCCTTGGATGGCTGGCATCTTCTCATTATTCAGGTCTCAGTTCAGCTGTCACTTCCTCAAGAGGGGCCTTCCTTAAGCATTTTATCTAAAGT